TTTTTTTTTTAGGCTTAATCAGCCAGTTAAAAACACGTTTTACTGACTGAGCTAATGTGCAAAGCAGAATTTAGTTATTCTTCTAGGCTGCTGTAAATCTGATTAAACTGGTGAAATATATCATTTTAAGGTATGTAAAATAGTTTTTTAATAGACAGTTTACTCTAGTTTTTACATTATGATGGTGACTGATGTCACATTAGCCAGTTCCTCTCATGTTAAGCATTACATCACTGGTGTTTTATAATATGTTCATGTCATAATGCAGTTTTATTCAGCAGATTTGTGGGATTGCTTCCACACTTTAATCAACCGGGTAAATGGACACATGTACATAATAACCAGTCTTACCAAAATTCAGATTATTTATTGTGGATTTTCCGATAGATCAGTATTCTTTAGTCAGTCATCATGCACTGAAAGGCAGGGAAACACCCTTAAATAGCCTCTAGGCAATCACACGCCTTCATTATGCTAATGAGCAAATTTGGATCTTCAATAGATGGATGATCTGAGATATCCTGCTGCAACTAAGCTTACACTTTGGCGAGATAGAAACTAAACCAGTGTGTTATATTCTTTAAAGTACAATATGTGAGCCCCTCTGAGGCTGCCTTCCTTTAGCATTGTGCTGGAGAGAGAAGCTGTATGTCCATATATGTGTGTATGTTTACATTTTAAGCATAGTTTACACTCCATGTCTTCCAGTGATTAAGCAGAAGGAATCTTGTGTGGTTTATTAACAGATTTCAGGGAGACATTTTCAGAATCTAAAATCCTTGCGTACGTTGTACCAAGTGTCACTGAACTGGTGTAAATGGTGATAGGGCCTTATTTGGGAGGAAACTGTTTTTAAAAAAAAATAAGTTTGGTGTTGTTCACATGCCTAGTTGCCATTTTGGGGTAGCTGAGAGGCATTTGCTTCGGCAAGCTCCCATAAATTAAAACAGCACAGTGACCTCAGGACAAGGGCACCGTGGTAGGACACATGTCTGTCGGTGAACATTTGTGTGCTGTTGAACCAAAACTTTAACTTCTCTCTTCTAGGAGAACATCAAAATACAAGGCTACCATGTACTGTATCTGTGTTTGTGTTTTCTCCATGGAAACCATTAAGAAGCTAACCACATGACTTTTTATGATCTTGCTATCCTTTCTCCCTCTTCTCCTCTCATCAGTGTGTACTAACTATAAAATTATCAGAACGCAAAGACAGGCTGTAAGCTTTTCAACTTAAAAGGGAAACTTATGTGTTTAGTTTAAAAGCTGCATCAATTCTCTTACTTTGGGAATTTATGCCTGTGACATTTATGCAGGGAAGTTTCCCCCCCCACTTCTGCTCTTTTTCAGGACCATGCACCCTGGTTCAGGCTTATATAGTGGCACAAGTTCATACCTCCATTGAGCAGGTGTACAAGTGAGGTGTGCCGCCTTATTCGATGGCAGTTAAGGAGTGAATGGAGAGCATTAATCAGTGACGTTCACTGCCCAGATCAACAGGACTCTCAATGAAATGACGTGCATGAAAAACAAACAGAAGGATAATGTTGGAATGTTGAAAATGCAGGTTGTGTGGTGGAAAAGTGCACTTAAATCAACCTGCAGACATTGAGAACAAGCATTTAAACTCGGACTAGTGTGAGGATGAATATAAGTGAGAAACTAGACAACAATTGCAAATGAAATGACTTCACTTAACCTCACTGAGCTCAGTTCATATTGCACAGATACCGCATACTGTTTGCTTTGCGCCACATACACAGCTTACTTCGTCTCTTTTTGTAGCCCTTCACCATGTGACATTTTTATCCTTATCTAGAAACTTCCAGCAAATTCTTTCTCCTTCTCCCTCCTTGCAGAAGAATGAGCGCAGAAAAAGTTATTAATTGACCAGGCAGAAGGAAGTGAGCGGGTCAGAAACACTTGTCCATCAGCCAGCCACACCCATATCCTATTCTCCCATTGGATGCCGTCAGTTTCCATGGCCACCTCTGTTTTGCACTTCTGCTCTGTCAAAATAGTACCACTCACAGCCAAACCACTCAGGCTGCGCATGAGTCATGGAGATACAGAAAAGAGCCAACTTGTTTGCTTTAGAAAAGTCTTGGTTTTGAACAAGGCCATTAGCATCGTGTATTATCATCACAACAACTGGATAACTATGAGATAAACATGGCAAGCAGCAATTCCCTGGTTTTCCTGCAAGCTATCTTAACTTTTTTTCTTTTTTTTTTGCAGATACATGGTGTCCATATTTTTCCATGCATGAGTATATGATTTTAAAGTACAGAAAAAAAAAAAAAAACCACAGTTTCAGTTCTACCAAGAATAGGTGAGTATAGCACACTCTGACACCTGGTCCTGTGGCGTCCTGTTGGCTCAGCAGGCAGATGCATATACCATGTGTCTGCAACTGATTTACAACTCGAATCGCTTGTTGCCTCGAGACACACTGTGCTTTTTCCCCCCCGCCTTCCATGCATCTATATCCAAATATTTAAAATGAAGTAGAAAATCTTCTGACTATAAGGAAGTAAAAATAAAGGCTTTTGAAAGACAGCAGCAGTAC